TCTTCGCAAATGTGAACCAGTTATCGCAATTGCGATACCTGATTCCCCCTGTCATGTTTGCAATTGCGATGCTGGTACTCGCAATTGCGACAACTGCAGCAGCACCAGCAACTTGTATTTGAGTCTAAATCTTTCCGAAACTCACCCGAGACCTCGGGACTCAAAACCAAACATTCACGCAAATCTAAAAATATCATATGAACTCACTTGCATGATCAAAATACAAAAATAATATCTAAAACTACGAATCAGACATTAAAACACATTAATTTCAAAAGAAAACTCAAGAACCTCTAGAATTGCAACCAAGCGTCCGAATCCTATCAAACCAACTCCAAATGACGCCATATTTTGCAGACAAGATCCAGATAACAAAACGTACCTATTCTAAGTCCCAAAACCAAATTCCAAACCCGATAGCCGAAAAGTCAACCTATGGCCGAACTTCTAAACCTCAAATTCCCAACTTTCGTCGAAACAAGTCAAATCAAACCAAGGACCTCCGAATTCAATTTTGGACATACAGCCAGGTCCAAAATTATAATACAAAACCTATCGAAGGCATCAAAACACCGTCATGGAGTCGTTTTAAAAAATTCAAACTTTGATTAATATTTCCAACTTAGGTCTCTAAACCAAGAACCAAAGGGTCCAAATCAACCCAAAACCTTTTTGGAACAAAACAAACCCGTTCCCCAAGTCATAAAATCGTAATACACACGTGTGAATCATCAAAAGAAAAAACGGGGCTCAAATATATAAAATGATTGGTCGGGTCATTACATTAAAGTACTTAATAGCAGGTTCATCTCCTGTTGAGTAGTTGAGCAGCAACATGTTATTGTCAGAGCTAGTTCTGGGCAAGTGTCTGTAACCATAGGATATACTTCTGACCACTCATCAGTGTATAGAATCCTATCCAATCTCTTACTGATTGGACCATTTAAAGTCAATTCCAATGTACCATGCTACAATTATACTACATTCTTCCACACATTTGATAAAATCCATACTTTCACCAGTTTGTGAATCCTTTCACCCTTTTTTAAGCTGGTGTCCTACCACTTAAACAGAAAAATTCAGAAGACACATTATGCTGCACAGAAAAGGTTTGGTGCTTCTGGTGATCATTCATGACTGAGCTTGTTTGATTTGAATCTCAAAAACACCAAATCTCCCCTTTACGAGTAGCCACAGTATTATCAAACCCCAACTTCCTTCTAAATTGTTCCAGCTTAGAGCTATGTACAATGGTTCTTGAAGAGCCACAAAGGACACTTTGTATAGTCTAACAAGTTCGATTAATCAGTCAGATGCACCTTTTGATTTAACCCCCCTAATATTCCATATGATCGTGTTAATCATTGGAAATGTAAGATTAAGGTTTTTGGTTCCCTCTACCTTTACCTCTAGTGATATGTTGAGAAGAGACATTTGTTTTTGGAGCTTTTTTCCTGTTTACAGAGCTTCCCCTAGGAGAGAGACCCCCCAATTCAACTACTAATTTAATCTCCTTATGAATCATTTCTTGTTGAGTAACTTCAGTTCTTGGTCCAAAAGCTTGAACCAAACTATCATTCAGAATCAAATTCAGTGAAATTGGGACTATTGAGCACACTTCCTTGTTGGGACTGTTGAGCACTCTTCCTCGTCTGCTCCTACCTCGGCGCAGTAGGCGTTGTGAATTTCTTTCCAAGTAGTGGGAGGGTATTTCATGAGCCTGCTTAGTAACTTTCTGGTCGCTCTTGACCCATTCCTGTTCAACCCATTTCGGAAAGATGCCACCGCTATCCCTTCTGATAAATTTGGTAAGCTCATTCTCACTCTGTTGAATCGAACGAGGAAGTCCCTGAGTCCCTCGCCAGGCGATTTCTTAACGGCAAATATATCATTCACCCTGGCCTCCGCCTTCTTAGCCCCGACGTGGGCGGTGACGAACTTGTTGGCCATTTCTTCGAACGTTGTTATTGAGCGTGCTGGTAATTGTGAGTACCAGGTTAAGGCTCCCCCCGTTAGGTTCTCGCCAAACTTCTTCAGTAACACCGATGGTACTTGTTCCTTTGAAAGGTCATTGCCTTTTACCGTTGTGACGTAATGAATGATATGATCTTCGGGGTCTGTGGTACCGTCGTATATCTTCAAATACGGTGGCATTTTGAAGGTGTTGGGTGTGGCATGCGGGGCTGCCTCCTCGCTATATGGTTGTTCGACGAATCGGCCGACATCCCGTTTTGGTAGCAGTTTTGGGGCGCCCGGTATCTTATCGACCTTTTCTGATGTTCCCTCATCTGGTCACGGAGTGTTTTGTTCTCGTTTTCCATTTCTTTCATTTTCTTTAGAATGGCTGCAAGTGCATCATTACCTTCATCAACAGTGGTGTAAGTGTTACCTATTTGGGGAGCGAGTTGTTCGCCGGTGATCGATGTGGTATCTGTTGGCGCGGCGTTTCTATTCGCCCTTTGAACGGGTTTGTCGAGTATGTTATTTAGAGTACTTGTCAGCTACTCCTTCAGTAATTTTTTCACTTCTGGTGGCGCTTCCTCAGCCGTGGACTTGGAATCTCCCTTTTCGCGTGAAGCGGTTACACTTCCATGAGGGGGAGGAGAATCACTCTGCCTGGGTGTAGCACTTGGCGTCACATTCTCCTCTGTCATCCACATTGATGGTGTGCAAGATGTTGGTAGTGACACCCACTATTGCTTTCTGTCTTTCATCTCCTTTTCCTGCCATTGTTAGTTCGTGCAAACGAGAAAAAGATAGCTGTCCTTTTTTGTGATCTAGAAGAAACTAAAATTTTAACTAAAACCTCCCAACAGACAGCGCCAAATTGTTTAACCAACAAGTATTAAACTCTTTGTTAAACCAATTAATGATGAAATAGAGGATGAGTCTTAGTTAAATATAATAAGATCTAGATAAAGGACTTGGACAGGTCCGTGAAGTCAAATCACGTTTAAAAATAATAAGATCCAGCACGTGTTCAAAGATTATCAATAAATATTGTGATAAGAATATGCAATAAATATAGACAATGGCAATAAATATAATAAAGAGGAATTTATCACCCAAATATTAGTCAGTTTGGATGACTTTCCTTCCTGACAGCAACGTGGGATTAAGATAAACGAAGATGGATAAGGAATCTTTGGATCTTGTGAACAAAGAAAGAATAACGTGTGTAGAGCTATAGAATCGGTGAACAAGATAATATGTATATATTCTTTCAAGTCAACTCTTTACAAAGTGCTCTTATCAAAAAGTGAAGATCCCCCTTTGTTCTCTATTTCTTCCTATTTATAAGGGATATTCCCAAGAAACCCTAAAAAGTACAACATAAGGAATATCAAAGGAATATTCTTTGTGTCCATTTCTAAACCTATCCTACCGTTACTTCTTTACTTCAGTTGCTCGCCCTCGGCAATAATCCTTCTGAAGGCGACTCCTCGCTATTATGTCGTAGTCGACCTCGTCCTCGACCCTATTTATCTACAGTTATCAAGTCGCAAAATTTAGACCCATACAGTGCACAGTTGCTTTGCTGCTAGATTATGTGTCTTCATGAGTATTTGCAGGTGAATCTGCTTCTAAATTGTCTTGTTCCCTACTTAGAATGAAAAGCATTCTACATTTAAATTGGTGGATCTTTAGGGTCTGTAGTATATTGATTAGCCTCCTCTCCACTATTGTTTTGAGAAGTAATCACCATAACCCTCTTTTGATTCATCAATTCCTTAATTCCAAATCAAGGATGGCTCTAGGGTAAGGCACCGAAACCCTTGCCTTAGCCCCCAAATATTTCAGGCCCAAAAAATATATATAATTTATATTTATAATAGTTAATAAAAAATATCAGATTTTAATATTCTTTTTAAATTTGGTAGAGATAGGATTGAAAGAGTGAATGTGATAAATAGTTTCTCTCATTAAGTTAAACAATATATTTATTTTTATCAATTTTACTTTTCTTCTATGTATATTGTTTTTCATGTTTCTCACGATTTTACTTTTTAATTTTAACTCAGATTTAGTTATTCCTTTTGGCACATTCATACGTCAAAAAACAAGTTCTTTTGTATCTGTTTTTTAACTAAGAAATTTTTGAGGCAAGTGTCGCAATATTAAAAAAAACTCGATGAATAATGGGCTCACCACTTTATCATTTTCACTTAATATCGTATTTTTGTATAGAGGAGAATTCAATATCATGACGTGCGCCTAGCCGACACATTATGCGTATGCGTTGCTCTCTCACATTAGGCCTTTTTAGAGTCTTATTATTCTATGGATTTTAGCCACCAATTTCGTTGAGACCATAGCCGCACGAACATGTTGTTGAACCAACTTTATTCTCATTTGTTAACGGAATGGCACATTCACTGTCTTTAGTATTCTTGTTATTATTGTCTTATCTTAATTAAAACTCTATAAAATTTAATTGAGAATGTTAGGGATGGATGAATGGGTAGCTCAAGAGGGAGGCTAGTAAAGCCTTGATTTAGGCCCTTGAGATTCTGAGGCCCAAAAAACTTTTAATAGTGAATTTTATGATTTTATTTTAGCTTAGACAATATTAAAGTTTGCAGAAAAAGTAAAAAATATAAAAAATTTGTAAAAAAGAAAGAAAAGTAGATTATCTATTCTTTAATAGTAAAATACTTTAGAACTTTGAATTAAACTACTTATATTTTTATATTTGTAAATATAATTTTTTACAACAACATCAAAGGAAATATATTGTATTACATGCCTAATATTTTATTTATTCAATTTTTGTTTACTAACATATAATAATATTATTACTATGTAAAGTTAAAGGCTTTATATCATTTAGAATATTATACTATAACAACAAGCACGAAAAAATGGTAACAATAGCTTTTTTTGCATGTGCATACATATATGAATTCTAACGTAAAAAGTATAAGGCCTTTTATTAAAAATTAGCTTTTGGCCACTAATTTTATTGACCGGCCTTGTTCAACATCTTCCACCAAGTTGATTATCAACAGGTTTAAGAATGTCATCTTTTTGTGGTCTTTTAATAGACTTGTCTTAGTATGATTTTCAGTTTTTATATATTCTGATCAAGTTACGACACATAGTTAATGATTGTTCAGAGATTATTGCTAGAGGAGCTGCTTCTTACGCCGAGAGGGGGCTCGGGAAGTCTATGCATGTAGTCCACATGTGTGTTTTTAGGTATGTTTGCTTCACATGTGTTTGGAACTTTGGGGCTAATTTAGCATTTTTCACCGCCACGCCACGACCAAATTATATTTTTTGGTATTTTACGGCCATAAAACTAGAACTCCGCCTGATTCCCAAATTTTCGTGTGCTATAGCCCACGCCTTCCGCCGTGGGCCCGGGCCTCCGGACCCGGATCGCCTAAAATTTTTCCTGGACGTCAAATACGACCAAATAAATCATAGTCACCGCCCCTCCATGACCAAATTAGATCTTTTGGTATTTTACGGCCATAAAACTGAAAATCTGCGCGAGTCCCTCTGGTTTTGACCAAAATATTTCCTCTTTGCAGCTCTCCGGCGATTCAAACACTATCAAGTGAAGTTATTTGAAAAAGTCGTCGTCACGGATACTATCCCCATTGGAGATAAGCATTTTCCCCAGTTCACTGTGTTATCTATGGAAGATGTGCTGGGGAAAGCAATTTCAGGCGTACACGATGACTTCAGAGTAAGTGGCAAGAACACCTCTCATTTCCCTTTTTCTCGTTAAAATTCCTTAAGTATATCTGACTTGTGTTTCAGGGTGGCAGGTAGATGGTCCATCAGACCAAGAATCACCTAAACTAGGAATGCTCCCTTATTGATTTTGTTGATCTGAAAGACTATGTATAGTTTTGGTGTTGTAATAGATCGCATCTAGATTTTAGTTTTGGTGTTATAATAGATTGCATCTAGATTTTGTTTCATATTGTTTGGTATTATGTTTTGTTTTGGTGTTGTTGAACTAAGACTTTGTTTCCTATTATCTCTATCACTTCTAGCTACCGGACATATGGTGTACAATCTCCTATTTAAAGCTTTTACTTTGAGATAATTTTAAAGAAATTGTTTTAGTGAGTATTTTACAGCGTTGTTTTAGTATTTTATTTTGCCGAGAAAATTCTGACCAGAGATGGGTTACTTTAATGAGCCAAGATAAATTTAGAAACAAAAACTTTAATGAGCCAAGATAAATTTAGAAACAAAAATAAGAGTTAGAGGCTTCAACATTTTATTGGAGAAGCTCGCCAATGTCATCCGCTTTGTAATCAACTATAGCAATTAGAATCTAACGTTTTCCCAAAGTCTGATTGGGAACTTGCTAGTTGAAACTCTTGATCAGATTGCATCAGGGCGGCCTTCAGGTTTGAATCTTATATCCTTTGATGCTCTTACTCATCCTTGTTTAGAAGGACATTTGCCAGTGGTAACTATCATCTCAAAGGTTCTTTCTCAACTTCTGGTGCATCTAAGCTGCTTCGGAAAGAAGAGGTTGAGAGAGTGGAAGCAATTGAAAACGTGAAGCAGTTGTGGTTTCTAAAGCTTCAAGTTCACATAACTCTTGCAAGTAATACGGCTATCTGGTTGTGTTATTCGAAGTGAGAAAAGTCAAGTTAAAAAGTCAAATTTACATGAGCTACGGGGAAAATAAGAATATGAATTTGAGTAATGAAAAATAAAACGTATTTTACTAGAGCATGATGTGTCAATTGTAAACAGAGTAGTCCCATCAAATTTGGGATAAAGTAATTGGCAAGATATTCTCCTTCATTTTGATTTCCAGTAAAAGCAAAGTGATTTCCAGACATGATTAATCAGCTTGACTTTGTTAAAGAAAAAACATATATATCATAGGCCTATGAACTATGATTCTACTCCATATGGGAGAAGTGCAGCAGCCACAATCCTTCCTTCTTCATTTAAAATGTTGTAAGTTGATGCAGCATTTCTCTGCATCACAGATGAAGTAAAGAATGTAAGCAACATAATATGGATGAGAGGAAGAAGATCAAGCTCTGATCAACGAATATGTGCAACAAAACATGATATATACAGATATCTAACAAGCGACAGGCTAGCAAAGCAAGGTTTTAGAGTTCAAATAGAAATTTGTTTTTTCATGTGAGTAGTCTGATATCACTCCCACCAAAACATGTGTGATTCAATTATTGGTTCATTGTGTCTATTAAGAAACATCTTAAAAGTTTATTTTGTAAAGAACCACATGAATCGGAAATAATATGGTTCAATGATTGCATTGAAAATTTAGAAAAGAATGAGGAAGAGAAAAGCCACTTGCAAAACATTGGCTGATACATGAAATGTTTATGCTACTATAATACTCATTCAGAAATTAACCAATAAGAAAAGCATTAAGCAAGTTAAATGTCACTGTTCTGGCATTGGTTTGCTGGCTGGCTAATCTAGTTGTATTTAAACTCCTTTATGTAGGTCCAGGAATAACAAAGAGTTCCACATGTTTCCATCTTCCAATAATAGTTTTTAACAAAAAGTTCCAGAGACGTTAAGTAAATGGTGGGGGTATGATGCAGTAACCAAGAATAAATCTTGCTCAGAACTTCTATGGCTACCCATCTCATCTATCAGACACAATCTGATAATTACTGAAACAGTTGTGCATAAACGATAATATAGCCCCTTCCTTTCTGTTTTCATAATAAACACAGATTGACAGAACCATATACTTACAGAGTCAACTGCTTCCAATTTCATTCCAGTAGAACGAATAAAGGCACGAAGCTCAGGATTTACTGGTTGAATGTACCTCCCGCAGCCAAGAAGCAGAATCTCTGCAATGAAGTTATATTAGGAACAAAGACAAAGAACAGCCTCATACCAAGAGTAGTATAAAATTTAGAAGATAATCATTCCTTGACGAGATCAGGATCAGAGTCAATAGTCATTAGGTTATATGATAATCAAAACGCACGGTTATATCTAAAATTGCATCAACATCCTGTACAATAACCAGGTTGCACCAAAAAGCTAGCAACAACATGCATCTTTGTTTAAGGCTATGTAAATTTCTCCTATGGCCTTCAAAAATTCCGTCATTTCTTTCAAGCCAAACAGACCACCAAATGGTTTGAGGAATGGTAATTAATTCCAGAGTCTTTAGTGATTTCTTGCACAACCCTTCTTTGGTCCAACATTGCAGTAGCTCCAAGTGGATTTGGCATGGTCCAGGACATGCCAGGGATTCAAGGACATGCTCCGCAGTTGACTAGTAAACAATGCAAAAAGAGGTGACCAACATCTTCCACAAAGAGTTAGTCATGGTTTTTCTGTATAATTCGATTAAGCAAATTTAACTAATTGTGGTGTTCGGGCCAACTTGCATGCACCTTGATTATTCTAGTGGGTACCTACTAACTCCTACCACGCAGATACCGGCTAATTCTACCCACCAAGAGTTACTCATGGTTTTCACCTACTTCATTGACCACTAGGCCACACCCGTTGATGCATGATTTTCTCAAAAAATTTATGCTTAATTTTCCTACTACCCAAACTCTTCAAAGCTAAGGGTGTTTGTTAAACATCCATAGTTCTCTTTCTCCAGAGGTCAAACAAATTACTGCATCCTGTTCAACTTAAAATACTAATGATTTTTTAACAAGTAGTAGTACTTAGACAAACACCACCCAGCCCTCTTTTTTTAAAGTGCAAAAACCACACAAACTTAATTGCAAGATACTTTGAAATAATCAATCAACCTTGACCACCAGGTTTTTTCCTCTTAACAAGTTATTGGCAAGCACAAACCAAACAGAGCGGAATATCAACACCGCCCAGCTGCAACTATTCTTCCTAATACTAAAATTTACCATCATTTTTCCGATCAAAAATAGGTTTATTAATCAAATATTTTAAGAAATGCTAGATCATACTTTCTGCCAATCTATTTTACATACTTTTTCTTTTTATTCATGCCAAGAATATTAACTGCCATGAATACTCAGAATATCTAATCACCATGAATAATCATGGATACTTCTCCAAGATCTTAAATCAGTATAAAACAACTATAGTTTTTGACTACTGGCTGTGAAACAACCTCCCAAATATTAAACTTTGCACCTTTAACTGGTTGATTAAAATTTTAAATCTTTAACCACCTTGAGTTACAAATTCAAGCTTTTTCCTTGATTTCAAACAATACTAGCACAATACAGCTGACATAAAGGGTATAACACTTTTCACAAATGATGTATCAAAGAAGAAAGATTAGCCTATGTTAGATGGCACATCGAGTTCAGCCAAGAGAACCCAACCAAAGCAAAGTAGTAAATCGTTCTCACGCAGGAAACTGCACCAGACAAATTTGCAGCAATCTTACAGTGTGATGTCATCAGAACTTGCCACACACTAGCATAGTATTTTCCCCTTTTATGTGGAAGAAGAAACATAAAGCTGTGTACCACTAAAGATTTCAGAACATTTCAATTAATGCTGCTAACTTGAAAGGAAATAGGGTAAATAAATTTTTAAAGACATAAAAAATAAGATAAATTTGCTTGGTCCCTGCTAGAAAAGGAACAACCAATTAGACATGAAAGGTCAAACGGAATGAGCACCATAACAATGTTGTACATGAACATGAAGGTAGGTGCAGAGAAACATCAGCTGAGCATCGCATTCTTCAAAAATAGACTGACTGGCTACTCACCTGGAACTGGCCGCACAGTCTGGAAGATAGATAAGCTGCAAGAAGCACGCACCAATGGCATGTCAGACGTGACCGTATAAACAAATTGCAAAAGGAAACATCTGATATTTTTTGAGGGGAAAAAGCGTTTCATAAGTGATATCCATGCAATATAATTAAAGAGTTGAACTTTGTGGCACAGTAAAATGTCCAAAATTATGTAATACAAGGGCTGTGGACATGGTACTACTCCCTTTAGCTTTACCCCAAATTAAATTTCTCGCTTTGACCAGGCTAATAGCCTGTTTCGCCAAGCTTCCAAAATTTGCTTATTCTGAAAAGTGCTTTTTGTCAGAAAAATGCTTTTCGAAAAAGTACTTTTGAGAGTAGCAATTTGTGTTTGGCTATATTTGACATCACTTTTGCTAATATTAAAACAGAAACTTGTGTTGGCCAAGATTTCAAAAGTGCTTATGAGGAGAAGCTAATTTTTTCAGCTTCTGGAACTTCTCAAAAGTACTTATATTTTCCCTAAAAGCTTGGCCAAACACCTCAACTCTCTAAAATAAGCACTTTTGGCTTTGCAGAAGCTAGGCCAAACAGGCTACAAGTTAAAAAGTGAGTGTCGACTATTGTATAGTTTATTATTCATCGGAAGGGCATGTGAAGATATTAGTAATTTTTAGCTTTGCAGACCATAAGAGGAAAAAAGTTACATAAAATAGTGTAAAATTTGGATCCCTGTAATTACTGTTTTTGTTTGACATATGACAGAATTTTCTTTCAAAAGAAATTGGACATTATGAAGGGAATATCAACTAAAAAGAAGGAATACAACTTGGAAGGATGGGACATTCTTTCACCCTGCTGTCACTTTTTGGTCATCCCACTGAGCTACTAGGCATCAGCTCCTTAACTTCAATTGACTACAAGCTAAACCAGACTGAACCACTTCGATTGGCCAGTCCAATCCAAATGTATAAAAGGGTTTCCCATGTCTAACCAACTTATAGTACATTCAAGGAAGGTACCAGGGTTCAATGAGGAGCAAAAGTAAGTACCTTTCTGAAGTAACCTCCGAAAGTTTCTTGGGATGCCAAGACATTAACAAGTTGCCAACACAAAGCAAGCTACCTTCATAATGTACCCCATTAACTTTGAACCCGGTATCAGTAAACCTACAAGGAGCCCAAAAAAACTATTAAAATAATCAGGTGCTGATACATATTAATATGTCTTGCAGTCCAAGAAAAAAGTGCCACAACTAAATTCTTGTAAGAAAGGAAGTCTGTTAACACGAAAATTTTGAGTCGGCACGGACCGAGGGCGAGGCCATTTGGCCATCTTCTTAGGCTATCTGAATTGAATCATGACCACATCAAAATTGACCACGATATGCCGCCATGGGCACCCAGAAGAGACCCTTTGAGGCTTAGTATAAATCGTGGCAATGTGGCCTAAATGAGATTAGCCCAACATCCATCCTAATGGATTAGTAAAGGGAAAAGTCATATAGGGTTTTACTCTATGACAACCCAGTCAAGTAATTGCCTCTCATTGAACTGGGAAACGAACATATGTCAGCTGAACATGGAGCTAAAGGCGTTGGTGACTTAGTCAAGATGAAAAAGGCAGAATCAAGCAAGCAACGAACCATCTCAACATTAACTAAATGTGCCGTACTTTTAGGAAACAAAAGCGAGCACGTTAAGAAGGTGGTTTAAATGACTGACCCTGTAGCTATAAATAAGACCTTTTGTACATAGAATAGATGTCATCCATCACACATACAACACATATTCAACTCTTTTCTATTAACTCAATTCGTTACAAATTTCTATACACTTCAAGCATTAACATCTCTATTAGTCCAAGCATTACATCCTCTCTTCACATGCTTTCATCTTAGACTCACGCCAATCATACCCAAGACTTTGTTACCAGGATTTTGAAATAACCTAGGAACCCATAGTAGGGACCACAGTCCCCTCCTGAATGTAAATCATCTGATTTTACTAGGAATCACTGGTGTGAATTAGACCACCTCATCCAGCCCAGCAAACTCAGTATTTTCACCAACATGGTAGTACAGGGGCTTAAAATGGAAATGATACCAAATTACCATTACTATGAAAGCAAGGCATTAAGCAATAAAATTAACAAAAGAGAGCTAAAGAAACCATCCACCCAGAGGGTTATGAGGCTATATAGTATATCTATTGAACCAGCTTGGCAAAATTTAAGATGTAAAAGCACAAAACAGTCCACAAGCCTAGTAATACTAACAAGATAGTCCACTAAATTTTATAGCTTGATTTGTACTCCCCAGAAATATCATACAACCCGACATTTTTCTTAAGGACCGCGTCTTGACTCACCCAAAGTCAGTACAAACATTTCAAGATTAGTACGTGTGGTATTTGCCATATGGTGTGGGTGATTTCCTAAATTTTTTGATAAAGGGTGTGGGTGGTTTTTTTACATTTCTTAGCTTTTTGCGATCCAAAGGCAATGCAAGTTTTGGGTTAACACTATTGTAAAGCTAAACAACAACTGGATAGCAACTGCAATTCGTTGATTTCTCCCCTCCTCCAGGATTCTTTAAAGCTGAGAGAAAACACTCTGTTTATTCGTAACGGTCTTTTCTATCTACATTTCTATATATAGGTCTCCTTTTTCCATCCTTCATGCCCCTCCACAAAAACAACAGCCAAGCAAATTTCGAAAGCTAGTAGGAAATGGGAATAACTTTGAAATAAGTCTCCTTTCTTTATGTTTGATACAAAAAGTATATAGTTATCATTTGATAAGGCTGACTATCAGAAATATAGAGCAATAATGACATTTTTGACTGACAATTGAACAAATATTTGAAAGGAGTAAGGCACAAAGGGTAAAATATAAATCTCTGCTAGTATGTTATTAAACTGCAAATGTAAGATGAAACTAAAAAGTTCTATAGGTCCACTGAGACAATAAACATCCGCAGCAAATACATAAGTGGTCAACTAGCATGCCTAAGCTGCATGACGAATTCTAACCAAAGTAATTATGCCATTACTTGCCTCAATGAAGTAATTGCAATTTATTAAACCATATGACTAGCATCAAATTCCTCAAATAGAAAGTTTGCTTCAATTTATATGATTATATCCCGACTTCTAGTTTCTGAACTTTGAAGAGTTCTGGTCAAATAATGCTAAAAAAATTGGTTGAGTTAGCCACCAGATACGAGGCAAAAAAAGAAATAAAAGCTATCTCGCCGGTGGAGGCAGTAGGTACCCGGTGGAATAGTCGAGCAAGCTGGCCCGGTCACCAAAGTCATAAAAAAATTGAACACTAGATACGACGTAAGACACCTAAATTAGAAGAAAACAAAATTGCATAAATTGTTCTTCAAATAAAATTTAGCTCAAATAGGTCATAAATACTCCTAATTTGACGAGAAAATAACTGCATACAGAAAATAAGTAAGAAAATGATTAAACAAGGAAGAATAGGAAAGTACTGTTGGAAGCGCAATTGATCTTCAGGAACGTTATCGATAAGATTGATTTGATCGTAAAGTGAGAATGCTCGTCTCAGTGAAGGCAACGGTTGATTCAACGGCATATGGTTAGGGTTTGGGGTTCCCTTCCTCATAGCTCGCATCAACGCCGGCAGCGTCGCCACTGCTTTCTGTCTCACCGCCATTTCTCCCCTACCTTCCGACTTTCCTTCTTTCCCATTGAGGTTCCAGAAGAAATTAAGACATCATTTTTCTATTTTGACTTTCACCCCCTAAGCTTTTGCCTATCGTGCAATAAGACAACTCAATTATGTGGAACACCGTACTAACCCTTAAATTTTCTTTTCTAGGAACCCTTTATTTATTCTTTTTGTCAGTTGGGACAATAATTCAATCAAAATTTGCCCATTTTTACCTTCTTACTCAGTTTGGCCCCCGAGCCATGAATATACATGCAAGTGCCGCAAATAAGTGCCACTTTATAGCTTGTTGGATTGTTGTTATAATACGAATCTAAATACGATTGACAAGAAATTAAAAGATAGAATTTGAGAATAGACCCAATAAAATTATAATTATGTTATAAATAGTATTTTATTTATGATGAATGTCTATATTTAGAGAGATTTTCGGATTCATTGCTTGGTGGCTAAGTCACTCTCTCCCTATAAATAGAGGGTTCCCTATAAATAGAGGGTTCTATTCTATTGTAATTCACCCCAAATCAATAAGAATCCCCTCTCTCTCTTTTTCTCTGCAATATTGTTCTTCTACTTTTATTGTTTCATAACACGTTATCAGCACGAGACTCTAACCAATTGAGTAGAAGCTTTGGGATTGAGCATAATGATTGTCAATTGTTCCATGAACTTCCTTCAGGAATAAATTCTGGATTGAAGGTAAGCATTTTACCTTATTTTTTTCTTTTAAATTCTTGAATTCTATAATTAGATTTTATATACAAACAAAGACAACAAGTTTGATTATAACTCTGATAGATTTGTAAGAAATTATAACCACTCGAATTGGTAAAATTTCTCTGTCTTGCCATGATCAAATTCATGTATGATTGTGGGCAAAGAATTGAAAATCCGTCCCATTGAATTTGCTCCATTCTCATTCCCATAAGAGAATGTGATAGCAGTATGTGATAAGTCTGAAAGAAGACAATACTATCAATGTATCAATAGATGTGGACGTGGCAATAGACGAAATTATAATCGTCATCATTGTGATAATGAGAATAATAAGGATTCTCAAAATAATCCTTCAATCTGTGAAAGTAATATTTGTCATCGATTTGACATGAGATTTATAAAGCACATATAGATGATTATGGTCCATTCGTGATGTGAATGTTACAACATCTGATTTATGAATACATATTCATTATTGGAAGAATATGAACGTGCTAGTGGTAGTGATATACCACACTCACCTCTAGAAGGAGGTTTGAGATGATATTAGAAAATAATGTCATTATTATGGCATGAATGGTCATTGGTCACGTACCTATTGTACGCCAAAATATTTTGGCTATGTGATTATTAAAAGACAACGGTAATGCAAGAAATAAATCTTGCATATAATTTTGAACGTAACCATAATGGTATAATTTTCTCTTTAAAAGAGATATTCACCATATGGATGTTGATGAATATGTGGTAGTACAATATTAATTGAGAGCTCTAGAAGAGCCAATTATACTATTTTGAAGAAATTGGATTATCAATAAGACGTTGTGTTGTAGCAAGTCTCAAAAAAACTTATTGAGTTTCTAAAGTATTCGCGAAAGCGGTTGATTATATTGAGACTATAAATAAAGGAAAGATTTAATATCTTCTATAACTACAACTTGTAGCGGGGTATTATGTATGTGAAAGCTAAACCGCTTTATTCTCCAATTTGTACTACATAAACAAAAGAATGCCACTATAAAGAGAAGTTTATTGATATAAAAACCCATATCATAATAAACTTGGAGTTTATTGATAATTGCACACATCATGGTGTAAACCTGCACTTTATCAATATTGATAATTTATTCAGTTGGCATAATTGGTTTAGCCATATCAATTTAAGTATGATGTGCAAAAATAAAAGAGAATTCACATGGGTAAATATTAAAGAACTAGAAAGTTCTTTACGAATTCTCTTATGTTGCATGTTCTCATTAATTAATATACCAACTAAAATTGGGATTGAATCCCATGAATGCTGGAAATATCAAAGGTGAATATGGGCACATTCACCTGCCATGTATACCACATAAGATGCGTCTATGAGATGGTTACATGTGCGATTATTAATAACCCGCAACATGGTCTTTTGCGAGGTAACTTGCTCAATAATTTAATTTCGAGCATAATTTCCAGATTTTCTATTCAAGAAGTTCATCTTGATAAGTTGGTTTACATCACAGTTGGTTTAGCAAAATGATTTATTAAGTCCCTCTACTTAATAGCTAAACAAATTGCTTATAAGAACAAAGTTATCTATATCGGTTTGATATACGTTATACACCAAAGTATATTATTTTCTCCCCTCATAAGTGGTTCATGGTCAGGAACCAAATAATTTCATCTTATTAGTATTTATGTGCGGTGTCTATATTGATTAACATCATACCACACAAAGGTGTGTTTCCAAAATTGAGGAAGAAAGTTAGCTTTTCTAACATGAGGGGGAGACATGATAAACATTTGAGAAAAAGTTACGTGGAATGAATTATCATGTGTACATCTAGATCCTCGAATAAAATAATATGAACTTGAAGTTCATAAAAGGATAATTCATTTGCAATATATTGCAAAGCATGCCAGATGCATTTGCTGACCCAAAGAAAGTAACTATATTCTCATTGCAAATGCTCCTATTAAGTCCTAGAAGGACAAAGTCTATGGTACGCTTAAAGCGTATAGACAGATCGGTTTCAAATAAACTTCTTAATAAAGAAGATGAGCAAATGATCAAAATGATCATAATAAAGGAGGCAAGTGATCTAGAAGATCACATGACATAACACTTCATAAAATCTCAGGAGAAATTCAGGTACCTGAAAATATGAGTGAAGAGATCCCTATGTCATGTCTTTATGAAAATAAAGCTGGAACCGATATAAAATATTCGTCGACGACATCTATGAAAGCGCTAAGTATAGATGAGAATCTTAGGTCTGTCGAATACAGACACAAAAATATTGGCCAAATAGAAGAGACACAATTCAAATAGAATTGGTTTCATATGAAAGACATGTAGTTTTGAACATGTAGTTCAAACACTTGAAAGTATAAAGTCAATGGTATGTGCAATTTCGATATCTTATATGTCTAGCATGACATGAAAACTTGATATGCATTTAAAGTCTATTATATGACTTATATGACTTAACAATCCCTGAAGGATTTAAATTACTTAAAGCATATAGAATTCATGGTCATGAAGTACTACATCCTCAGTGCAATTTGTGCACAAATGTATCTTGCTATAACTATATGCATGATAATATGATAGCAAGAGTTTTCACCCCTATGTGAAGATATTGAACTGACGATTCCAACAAGATCATATGAAGACAATTCATCTTTATCAAGAATGATGATTTCAAGATGCAATATATTCATTCAAGATAATATGCCTGATTTGTTCATCAAATCTCTATCAAAGATCTTTTGAAGATGGTGCACAAGATAGGAATGCAAATGCTTAAGGATGTGAATTGATGCTCTCATCAGGGGGAGTTAATGCGCGTTGTACTCTTTTTTCCTTACAAGGTTTTGTCCCACTGGGTTTTCCTTGCAAGGTTTTTAACGAGGCAACCAAAAGGCGTATTATTAGATACGTGTACTCTTTTTCCTTCTCTAGAATTTTTTTCCCACTGGGTTTTATTTTAGTTAAGGTTTTAACGAGACACATTATCTGTTGAATAGACATTCAAGGGGGAGTGTTATAAATAGAATTTTATTTATGGTGAATGTCTATATTTAGAGAGATTCTAAGGTTTATTACTTGGTGGCTAAGTCACTCTTTCCCTATAAATAGAGGGTTCTATTCCATTATAATTCATCCCAATATCAATAAAAATTCTCTCTCCCTACTTTTTTCTGCAATACTCTTGTTCTTCATTTATTGTTTTATAACAGAGGAGCAAATTTTATTTTTTATCAACCGAAAGCAGCTCCAGGACGACTTGACTTCAGTGTGAAAACAAAAGAAAGTTACTTTTTCTGATTTTGGAAAAGAACCAACTAATTATTATTATTATTAATTAAAAGAAAAGGGAAAATAGACGAGGGGAGGAAGAAGCGACGGAGCCTTTACTGTAAAAAAGCAGCAGCACCATGGATTCTTTATGTAAATTACCTTGTTATAGTCCGTTTGGCCAAACTTCTAAAATCTGCTTATTTTGAGAAGTACTTTTCTCAAAAGTATTTTTAAAAAAAGTGTTTTTGGTGAGAATTAATTTGTGTTTGGCTAATTAATTAGAAAAGTACTTTTGACCAGTAATTAGTGTTTGGCCAAGCCTTTGAAAACTGCTTCTAAGTGTATTTTCTCAATAGTGCTTCTCAGAAAAATGCTTTTGGAGAGAAGCTAATTTTTTCTGCTTCTCCAAAATTGCTTCTGCTTCTCCTTAAAAGCACTTTTTTTCCTTCCAAAAACTTGGCCAAACACCTCAATTTTTGGCCAAAAAAACACTTTTAGCTCAAAAAAAAACTTGGCCAAATATGCTATTAATTGTCTTCTAGTAAATTGTATATCCCCTTCGAATATTGGAGGAAAGTTGTTGGTTCCATTCCGGCTAAAATTCCTTTGGCACTCACTTTTTCCTTTCGGGAAGAAGAAGCGGCAGGATCGGATACTCTGCCACAATTTTGTTGTTGGATAAGGTTATACGTAAGTTTAATTACGTTAAAATGATAGATTATTTTTAATATTTAAAGAATATTATCATTTTCCAATTTTTATGATTCCACCTAGTTTCTTATATGTTTAATTTTCTTCATTTATAAAATTGTGTTATTATTCTACTTTTGAAACTATACCTCCTAATAATAGAATAATGAGTTATTAATAAACTTGGCATATAATTAGTGATATTATTAAAGTAGAATCTCATTGTTGAATGAGATTATAGACTTATGTTTTCCTTTTCTTTTGAATTATATTTACTTAAACTATGTTGAAACTTATTTTATGTTATGTTGTAATTTTACTGATGGTAGGCTAGAAACACATATTTTAGTCATAGTTAGCACTCT